GGGTGGTCTGAGAACCTTTGAGGAGTTGGGGGAGATGTGACCACTGCTGGGGTCAGTTCTGCTTCTCCTCCATAGAGTGAGGATAACAGTGTATCACCAGGAGTTAAAACTGTGGCTGTGGTCTTAGACTGCATACATCTCCATCTATTAACTGCGTACTCAGGGCGAGTTGCTTCTCTGTGCCTTAGTTACTGCACCTGTAAAATGGTAATGACCTGGGTGTGATGTGGCTGGGGACTTAAATATTAAGAACAAGAAGAGTTTGCTGCTTTTTTTTCTTATTGAATGGTAACTATGTACATTAATGCACTTCTGGGGTACAGTGTGGGGTTTTCACACACAATCCGAAACACTTCCATCAAACTGGTTAACATAGCCTTCGTGTCATTTTCTTAGTTATTATTTTAAATGTTCACATTCTACTCTTAGAAAGATTCACTTGTACCCTTGTAAGATAAACCTCAGAAGTGATCCCTCCAAGAGTTTGCTGCTTTTTAAATATCACTCTACTATATTCTACAAACTCTTATTTCCTTCCTGTCCTTAACACTGATTCCACATCAGCCTAAGTCAGCCTCAGATCAAGGAAAATAGGATTTGCGAATCAAAACAAATTTCCACAGCTCTGACACTGCTAAACACTTTGGGGGCCATGTCCTGCTGTACAAATGGAAAGCATGACTTTTTGGAGAATTCACATTTTGGACCAAAATTAGCCCTCCTGTAACTTGACTCATTGATCTGTCTTCTTTTACTTATACTCTCTCCTCTTGATCATCCCAGTTCCTTATTTAGCTTTACTTGTGATTCTGAGCTTACCACCAATTTAAATCATTTTACAGATGTAGGGGAGACCTTACCAAAATGGAGCTAAACTCTAATCCTATGTTAGTTCAGATGAGATTGGGGGAAAACCAGACATGTGTAAGGTGAGGTGCTAGGTACACATGTCCCATGTAATAATAAAATGAACCACAAATGAGATGAGAAAATACAGGCTGGTGAGGCCAAGGGTCTTCATCTTTCAGGGGAGTTAGGGGCAAAAAAATAGGCACATCCTTAACTCTGCCTGAGCCTGAAGAAGTTGAAAATTTTCACTGTACCTGTAGACCTTGGTTTATAGCTCTTAATCCTGGGAGATCATATGCATTTGAGCCACACATAACTTATCCTCCTCCAGCCTTTGCCATAGTGATGGGATGCCCTGGAATTATAATGCATATAGAGCCTGCTGGCTTCTTCTGAAGATGCAGACACCTGTGCTCCATCTCAAACTTTAATTCATTTATTCTAGAGAGATTTACTTAAGAATCTTTATTTACAACAAGCTCCCATAAGTGATTCTAATGCAGGTATTCTCTGAATGACATTCTGAGAAATATTTTCTAAGAAGGGAGCAATACTACTTTAAGTATGAATTAATCAATGTGTATTAGTTTCGCCCAGTCCTATAACTCCCTTCTGACACTATTTATCTGATTGGATCTTGTATAACAGAATATGGAGCAAACTTATCTATCAGTAAAATTAGGTCATGTAACTCCAGTGCTGGGAGAGCAGCATAGTTTATACATACAAGTGTAGATTCAATAGCCTAGGTTCCATTTCCTGACCCCAAACTGACTGGCTATATAAACTCAGGCAGGTGTTAATATTTTTAAGCTCCAATTTCTTCATCTTAGCTGGTGATAATAATAGGATATACATTACAGTGCTGTAGTGAGCATTAAATAGAATTATTCATGTAATCGATTTAACTGAGCATTGAGCAGAAATCATATGTATGTAATATATATTGCCATTATTTTTGATTATCTTCAGTAGTAACTTCCAATGGGTTTGCTAACACAGGATCCAGTGCATCCTCCATTGCCTCCAGCACATCTAGCCCCCCTGGAACCAGCCTAACTTCCAGTAGGACCATCACAACAATCAACGCTGGGTCTAGCATAACCCTTGGTCGGCCCAGCACAGCTGCCAGCACTGAGTCCACCACAAATGCCAGTGGGGTCAGCACAGCCACCAGTTCAGGATCCAGCATGATCCCAAGTGGAACCAGCACAGCTGTCAGCACTGAGTCCACTACAAACCCCAGTGGGGCCAGTGCAGCCACCAGCTCTGTGTCCAGCACAATCCCTGGTGGGACCAGCACAGCCACCAGTTCTGGATCCAGCATGATCCCGAGTGGAACCAGTACAGCTGCCAGCACTGAGTCCACTAAAAACCCCAGTGGGGCCAATGCAGCCACCAGCTCTGTGTCCAGCACAATCCTTGGTGGGCCCAGCACAGCCACCAGTACTGAGTCCACCACAAACCCCAGTGGGGCCAGCATGGCCACCAGCCCTGGGTCCATCACAACTCCTAGTGGGACCAGCATAACCTCTAGCACTGAGTCCACTACAAACCCCCGCAGTGGGGTCAGCACAGCCACCAGTTCTGGATCCAGCATGATCCTGAGTGGAACCAGCATAGCTGCCAGCACTAAGTCCACTAGAAACCCCAGTGGGGCCAGTGCAGCCACCAGCTCTGCGTCCAGCATAATCCCTGGTGGGCCCAGCACAGCCACCAGCACTGAGTCCACTACAAACCCCCATAGTGGGGCAAGCACAGCCACCAGCTCTGGGTCCAGTGTGGCCCCAGGTGGGACCATCACAACCACCAGCACTGAGTCCATTACAAACCCCAGTGAGGCCAGTGCAGTCACCAGCTCTAGGCCCAGCACGACCACTGGTGGGACCAGCACAGCTGCCAGCAGTGAATCCACTACAAACCTCCCCAGTGGGGCCAGCACAGCCAGTGGGGCCAGCACAGCCACCGGGTCTAGCACCACCCCTAGTGGGACCAGCACAGCCACCAGCACTGAGTCCATTACAAACCCCAGTGGGGCCAGCACAGCCACCAGCTCTGGGCCCAGCACAACCCTTGCTGGGACCAATACAGCTATCAGCAGTGAGTCCGCTACAAACCCCAGTGGGGCCAGTTCAGCCACCAGCTCTGGGTCCCCTGCAAACCCTGGAGGCTCTGGCACACCTGCTTTGACTGCAAAGCCCACAACTCCCAATAAAATGAGCACAAGTGCTGCTACTCCAGGGAGTGGGGGGAAGCCTAGTGGGTCGCTGAAGCCATGGGAAATCTTCCTCATCACCCTGGCCTCTGTTGCAGCGGTTGCAGGGCTCTCTGCTGGGATCTTCTTCTGCGTGGTGAGTGCCTAGTGTAAAGAAAGCCCCTGTGGGAGGGGGCATCAGGAACAGGATGGGAACAGGAGGGCTGCAAATGGCTGGTGGGCAGGGAGGAAAGGAGATCAGAGAGAGTTATAATGAGAAATGGCAATTTGGAACCGGAGGAGCCAATCTGTGTGTGGAAGGAACAGTTGGCAGGTGGGAGAAGGGGGCCATCAAAAGGAATGAAGGCTGGAGGAAGAGCTCCCCTCACTAGGGGAGGGGGTGAAGGTTCCAGAGGGAGTCCCTGGTGAAGGCTAGGGAGAGGAGGATGTAATGCTGAAACTATTGGCTCTTTTTTTCCAGAGAAACACCCTGTCCCTGAGAAACATCATGGATACAGGTGTCTACCGCCCCCATGGCCCCAGCCCTGGCCTCGGTCCAGGCCCTGGAGGGAATCCTGGAGGCCCCCCCAGGCCTAGGTGGAGCCCTAGCTCATTCTGGAGGAGACCAGTATCCTCAGTAGCCATGGAGATGAGAGGGCCATACGGCGGGCCCTGAGCATCCCAGAGCTGGGGTGCCACGTCCTTCAGGGAGGAAGCCCGCCCAGGGCCCCGGAGCCCTGAGTTTCCTTTTATTCATCTCAGGAGGCCTTTCCCAGCCTTGTTGGGTTCCTGACAGCCCTGGGGCCCTGGGGAAGGCATTCCTCCTCCCTCTTACCTTTACCAGACACAGGAAAGAGGACAATATAATGGTCATTTAGCAAAGAAATAAATACATCCAATATATCTGACAGAACTGTGTGTGCACATGGGGGATGTCTGGAGCTCCGAGGTGAATTTCCCAGCTGGAGGACAGACCTCCATGCTGGAGTCCACTTGGCATTATGAATCTCCAGAGTAAAATCCAGAGACCTCATTCAGATCTCTGTGTCCTCATTTCCTAATCCTTCTTGCCTCAAGCAGGACCCCTGTGTTCCCATACTCATCATGTTGGCAGGAGAATTGAGCTGGAAGAGATGAGAAGGGAGGGCAGGTGTCAGTTGTGTGCAGGCTCATCCACTGGGCTTGTTGTTTTTAGAGAGGCAAGAGCAGGGCAAGGTGGAGGAGATGCAATTACATGCTCCATGGGGCAGAGCATGTTCGTGCAAAGTCACACTTCTTAGGGCATTTACAGGGCTCCAGACCCAGGCTGGCCATCAGGGCAAAAGTGCTAGTTGAAGTTGACACTAGTGTCTTTCAGGGTGCTGCCTTGGGCAGCGCAGAGATAGGGCTTCCCAAGGGAAAGACTTTCTGTCCTGCTAAGATCTAACCTGTCAAGAGGCTCTTGGCAAAGATGTTGGGATTCTCACGAACCCCCTCCCAGAAGGGCTGCATGTATCACTTCCACGGGTCCAGGGGAGGAGGGTCCTCCAGGTCTTAAAGACAGAAGGTAGCTGGTTTGGAGACTAAGTCGCCCTGAATCTACAAGGTGGCAGGGGGGATCCTGCCTGGAAGAGAGCCCTCAGCAGAGAATTAGCAGTCTGTTGGTGGGCTTTCTTTCTACAGCAGTGCAAACTGCTCTGCCTTCTACCATTCATCAGGTTTCTCAAGTGTCAGCAAAACAAACAGTTGGATCTTGCCACTATGGCTGAAGGAAAACAGCCTGTTACATGGCAAGAATGACACCATCTTGAAGCGAAACCACCATGATGACCAGTGTTTGACTCCCGTGGACCAGGCTGTTCTGCAGTAAGGTCTGAGGGCAAAGCTTGTAGCCTAGACAACCCTTCATAAAGATGCTCATCTAACCTCCCCATGGTTATGAGTTTTGGCCACAGAGTCTGAGATGTGACAGCAGGGCACATCTTTACCTTAAAAGCTTGCTATATATGGAATATTTTCTGTAAGACTGGGGGAATCTAGGGAACCACCTGAGACATCACACTGTTTGTAAGTCTCTATTAATTATTTCTCTCTGAGAAACTGGATTTGTCAGTCTTTTTCTTTAGTCTCTTAGTTCCCTCGGCTTTGGGGTAGGTTTGCACAGATGTGCCCACTGTGGAACAACCAGCCAGGAGCTGAGAGACGAAGGAAGAGGTAAGGGGAGCAAAGCATCTGTGGATGCCTGAGGACGTCCACCTCATCCATGTGGGGTGGGGTGGCACATCAGCTAGATGTTTGTGGACCTCTGCATGAGTATCAGGGTGTTCCCAAAATGCCAGTTGGGGCGCACTGCAGTAAGGAAGCCCAGCAGATAGCCACTGCAACGGGTTGGACTTTTTTGTTCATTTGTCAATGAAGACCCAGCTCACAGAAGAGGCAAAAATCAAACATCTGGAAGAGAAATTGCAACTAGAAAAGGACATAGGGCTTTCCACTTCTCCCCTTGCATCAAACTTAATGGACAGAATTGAAGATCAAGAGACAAAAATTGCCTTTCCATGCTACCCAGAAAGGGGTCAATGTGGTGCTCTTCTGGATTCCCATTGTAACTTAAAGGGAAATTTCCATGATGTCCAGAGCACTTGATGCCCTGCAAATGAAGGAGGAGGATGTCCTCAAATTCCTTGCAGCAGGAACCCACTTAGGAGACACCAATCTTGACTTCCAGATGGAGCAGTATATCTATCTCTAAAAGGAAAAGTGATGGTGTTTACATTATGAATCTGAAGTGGACCTGGGAGAAACTTCTGCTGGCAGATCGTGCCATTATTGCCACTAAAACCCTGCTGATGTCAGTGTCATGTCCTTCAGGAATACTGAGCAGTGAGCTGTGCTGAAGTTTGCTGCTGCCACTGGAGCCACTTTTATGGCTGGTCATTTCACTTCTGGAAACTTCACTAACCAGATCTGTGCAGCCTCCTGGGAGCTGCATCTTCTAGTGGTTATAGGTCCCACAGAGGCCTCTTAACCTTCCCACCACTGCTACTGTTCTGTGCAACACAGAGCTCCCCTGTGTTGTGTGGACATTGTCACCCCATGCAGCAGCAAGGGAGCTCAGTTGGTGGGTGTGATCACGGTGGATGCTGGCCTGGGAAGTTCTGCACGTGCATGGCCTGATCTCCCTGAACACCCATGGGAGGTCATACCTGATCTCTGCTTCCACAGAGATTCTGAAGAGATCAAAAGGAAGAGCAGGCTGCCACCGAGAAAGCTGAGGCCAAGGAATAATTTCAGGGTGAATGCACTGCCCCAGCTTCTGAGTTTACTACTCTTCAACCCAAGGTTGTAGCCTGAAGACCTGAAGACTGCAGGTGCCCTCTAGGCCTACTGAGGATGTCCCCACTGAGGACAGGCTCTCAGCCTGCTGTGGGGACTGGTGTGCAGCTCCCATTGCCCAGGCCACTGAATGGGTGGGAACAACCACTGAGACATCCTAAGATGTTCCTCCCAGGCTCTTAAACAACATGGAAACAAGCTTAGGAGAAAATAGACATTAGTTCTTAAAAAAGAGAGAGACAAAAATTCGTAGATTTGTCTACCTAGAGGGAAGGAAATGGAAACAACCAAAAATCAGAGCTACCATAATTAAACCCAGTTGAGACTCTGCTGACCTGGAGGCCACAGATGGGGAGGGGGACAGGGAACTCTGGCAAGCTCTCCCCTCATGCAAAGAAAAGAGAAATCTCAACAACTGCAGCAAAATGGGGTCAGCACATGGGGCCTCTCACTGTCAGGGAATGCTGCTGTTGTACTCTTGGTTGCAGACCTTCAAACAACCACTGAGGGAACCTCTGATAGCTTGGATGGTTCCCCTGAAGGACATAGTGGGTGATTTCCTAGCCAAAGAATGATGCAGAAAAAACCAGTAACATTGCCACCCACCCAGCCCTGCAGCAACACCTGCAGAATGCAAGGCAAACACCTTCAAATCAGCCTTAAGGACTAAATCATTCTAGCTACAAGACAGGCTTGCCCTTAAGAAGGAGACTGACCAGGAGGGTTGAACTCTTGGAGGTCAATCTAAGAGGACCAGGGGCTTCTCTGAGAATTAGGAAAGAGGCAAATCATCTAAGCTTGAGTTTTCACAGAACCAACTAAAGCAGGTTTCACTGCCAGGATGAAAAATAAATTACTACAGGGTGTGCTAAGAGGATGGCACACTCTTTGCTGTCTCTGTTGAGTCCTATAGTGGGACAAAGATGGGTATGGCATGGGAGAAGCCATCACAGATTTGGGGAAAATTGAGAAAGTGAGGAATAAGGTATGCTTGGTAACCTGACAAGGACTAACCAAGTAAGAAAAGAAAACTCCACAGAAAACAAGGAGAGACAAGGGAAAGGGGTTGATAAGAGTCACACATAGGCAGAGGGGGTATGATGGGAGCAGGAACACCCTGAGAATAAACAAACAGCCCAGTGCTGTACTGGTAGTCTTAGGGAGGGAACTGCAGCCTGGACAGCAGTTTCGTCCCTTCTTTTCCGCTGCTCTGATGGAAGAAGAGGACTTGACCCTTCACGCTACTGCCCTAGCCAATCAGAGGTGGATCCCAACCCAGCCCCAAGATTAGGAGTGTGGCCAATGCTGACACCGTGTTTGAGCAATAAGGGGTAACCAGAGGTCCCATATTGGGCTCACCATTTACTGGCCCCTCCCTCCCCCCAAATAAAGAGAAGACTATTGTCTTAGCAGAATGTGGAATGTGGAGAGGAATGGAAATCCAGAAAGACTCCCATTAATGGGCTGCCATTGATCTGGGTCAAAAGGACTTTACTACATCTACGTATTAGAAAAGTTCCCCCTGCTCCATATAGGGTACTTATTTTCCCTATCCCAGGAAACATTTTAAGCATGGGTGTTTTGTTAGGAAAGACTTAGCAAACTTCAGTGGGAGATTCAGATTGAAGGCGTGTACAGTAAAGCCTGTTTGTTCTCTGCAGAGGCAAGATGGGAACCCCTGGAACTCCCTGCCCTTAGGTGAGCTGTCAACATTAACAAGACAAATCGCCTGAGGGTGTGCTGAAATAAGTAGAGTTATTGTGGGCCTGGCAAAGGTGCATATTTATCTGCCCAGCTCAAAGCCCATTTAACAGTCCTGTCCAGACTTTATGTGCCCAAACCAGACAGTACCTGGCAGGTCATTGTGCACTACTGGGAGCTGAACAAGGTAACCCCAGCCATACATGCTGCAGGTCCTGATATTACTCATGCAGTCAACCACACAGGGTCTGTGCTGGTGCACATCCTGCTGTCTTAGACTAGGCCGGTGCCTTTTCCATCATTCTTCTCTCTGAACAATCACAAGACCAATCGCAAGCAAACTTAACCAGTGGACCTTTTAAGTGTTGCCCCAAGGATATCTTCACAGCTTTAGGATTTTTGATACAATGGACTTGTCTTTGTTCTCATCCCTGTCTTCTCTTTCTCAACTTCATTATATCGATGGTGTTATGTCAACCGCTGAAGATTTTAATGCATTGCAGAGAAGTCTTACAATAATGCATGCTCATTTATGGGGACAGAGATGGGCAATCGACCCTCAGAAAATCTAGGTCCACAGCCTGCAGTGAAGTTCTTAGGGGTTATATTTTTAGGGTCAAGCAAGATTTGTTTGATACCAGGGACAGTGATTAAGAGAAT